TGATCTTGCAATCCTTCTGCCTTAACCTCTCAAATTGCTGGAATTACAGGTGTGCACCACTGCACCTAGCTAAAACTAAATTTTCAAAAGATTGTGAAATATAAATTGTAGGAGCAACTGAATTTAAAAAAAAAAAAAAGCTTGAGCGCATGAAAGGAGCTAAAAATGTTGAAGAAAATAAATCCCTTGAGATTCATTTCATGAATGCTGCTGATGATCTCTTTTGCTGTGAGTGTTGCCTGGTGGTACTCTTACCTCCAGGGAATAGGTTAGGCTGCAAGCTCAGGAGTTTCACAAATGTTGAGTCAGATTGGAAGGGAAATAGGTTTTATTCAAAGCCAACTTTCAAGAAAGAAGAAACTACTTTTTTTTCATGTGAATTACCATCTTCAGAAAGCTTTGGGGGCAAAGAAAGCTTTTAAAAGAGGTGGCAAAATGGAGCAAAAGTCAGGAAATATACATGTGTAACATATATAGTTTAAGTTAGCTGGGATAGACAGGCCAGGGCTGGGGCTGTCACTTACAGCTTCCTTGAAGTTCCCTAAACCAGCAGGACAGCTCTTCAGCTTTTACTCTCAGTATGAGGAAATTGTCCTCAATTTTAGAGGGGCTCTTAATTTCAGTCTGTTTGATCAATAGTTAATGCTTTACAAAAACAAAATATAACAAGTGATGATGTAAAATTAATTCCTAAGGAAGTCTGAAAAAAATATTATGTTCTACATGTCAGAACAAATTTTCAAAACAAAGTTCAGTTTATATATTATGAAAATAAGTCTCCATAAAATTTTAAAAAACATATAGTTGGACATCAATTTAAATGCTGAAGATGGATCTTTATAATTTGTTTTCTAAAGAAAGATTTTGATCTTTTCTACTAGAGTCATGTTTTCCAGAAGGACCAGAAAACCAAGTTTAATAATAATGATAAATGGATACTTTTGCCAGGAATTGTTCTGGAACTTATATACATTTTTATACACAAAATGATCTAGGGAGAGCACAGAAATGTTCAAGAGTATAGGGAGCACTGACTTCATCAGGTCTGATACACTACCATAATGGAGAGGAAGACTTGGGTTCTGGAAAAGAGAAAAGAGTTGGAAAATTCTAAAGCAAGCATATTTAAGAAAAGATGCATTTAGGAAAAAAATAATAAAGGTTATTTCAGTCAGTTATAACCAAGGAAAGTGATCTAAGGTATTGCTCACTGTTTTCTGAAATATTTGCTTAATGGGCTGGTGTGTACCCCAAATCCTGAAATATTGGGCCATGATTAAGCAAACATCCTGCTTTTATAACAAGTTATTACTTGGGAGCATAGAGATCTGCAATTCTGATTGCCTCATCAAGAGATCCACCATGCCTTTCCAGAGAAAAGTAGCTCTGATACTGTTACTGGGAGACACAAATAACACATGTAGAARCAACTCTAATGCTGTTACTAGGAGATGCCTTGGGAGGAAAGGGGTTGGGCCATAACACTCAATGCTCCAGAAATTCAGGGTCAAAATGGTAGGAAAAGAGGTTTTAATGAAAGCAGCTTTGAAGGAAGATGGAAGGCACTTCATTGTTTCAAAAGTTCCATCTCCAAAATCCCTGAAGGTGAGCAGGGAAATAGAACAAAATCCAGACATATACATGCAGGACTTTTTTTGGCCAGCTCGTGTCAGGCCTGAGACAAGGGGAAATCTTGCTCCCAGCTTCTCTGGCACCTGTCAGGGTTGGGTGGGGTTCACAGCCCTTCACTTCCTTCAGGTATTTAACATGTTTTGATTCCCTGGAGACTTCCTTATCACATCAAAAGGAGATAGGACTTCTTGGGTCCTAAATCCGGTTTTCCTAATTTCAGGAGAGCCCCTAAATCCAGTCTGTTTCAATACCAATAACAATGGACCTTCAGTTATATAACACACACTCTATGCCAGGCACCGTTCCTCACAGCACCCCGAGCTCTGTGCCGTATACACTAGCATAATACCCATTTTGCAGGTAAGAAACCTGAGGCACAGACAGATGACATAACTGACCAAAGGTCACACGTAAGTGTTGAAGTCAGGATTCGAACACAAGTAGTCAGTTTCCATGGTTTTTTTTTTTTGTTGTTGTTATTGTTGTTTTTTTTTTAATTTATGCTACCTTTTTCTAATACTTTATGTCCAAAAATAAATAACTTRCATATAAAGAATGAACCCAGGAGCTGGGAGTGTGGCTCAGTGGTAGAGTGCTCGCCTGGCACATGAGAGGCACTGGATTTGATCCTTAGCACCACATAAAAATAAAATACATAGATATATAAAATGAACCCAAAGTACTGTGAGACCCTATCTCAAGCAAATTTGGAAATAAGAAAACACTCAGAGCTAAAAGAATAACTGAGATTGGTCCAAACCACTGGTCTGCCTCGCCATATTAGATCAAATTGACTTCCCAGGACAGTGAACCCTTCAACAACTAGAGGGACAACCTATCTAGAGAGGAAATCTGTTAAGTCTCAAGCCAGCACTGATGAGCTACAGAAGTGTAAAAAGACAGCCTCAGACATCAGGCCAGCTGTGACAGCCTGGCACTGTCCAGCAGAGGGGCAGGTACTCTATTGGCTTATTCAAGTGTCCAGGGCCTACTGATAGACGGATGAATCAGGTTTCCAGCCTTAGAATCCTTGGTATTATCTACCGTCCTGAGTTTGGATCACAGTGACAAAGCGCCTGGAGCAGTCTACATAAATATCCAGTCTGCTTGACAGTTATATTTCTAATGAATAATTAATAATGAATGAGTCTGGTGAATAGATTTGGGTGTATATCAGGGTGAATCAGCTTCCTTGGACCTGAGCAGATCTGTAGCACTGGGAAGATGAATGACTGTCATCTAGCCTGGCAAGACGAACTGCCAGATTCAGAACCAGTTTTACCAAGGTATATGCAATGCATCTCAGAGTAGCCAACCTATCTTTTCCCCCAGTGACAACCTGACTTCGCTATATATACCACTTAGAAAAATACAAGGAAGTCTGGGGATATAGCTCAGTGATACAGCATGGACTTAGCAAGCATGACACCCTCCCTGGGTTTGAGCCTTGGTGCCAAGCATATAATTATGCAATAAGAGTCCAAAAAATATGTATGGGGCTTTTCATTCTAGAAAGATAAATGTCACATGATTAAATGTCTAAAGTGTATAATGCTTGAAAGACACAGCCAGGATGAATATACAATTATTTCCTAATTTCTGAAATTTAAAAAAACCTGCCAAGTGGGTTTTCAAAATTAAAGAAGTTGTTTCTGGAAAATAGAGGCATGTTTGAGGATATGAACTTCATTCTGGAGAGATGAAGATGCAGTCCCTTTGGTGTTTATCAAGTCCCTACCAAGCTCAGAGAACTGAACTGGATACTTCAGGGAACATGTAAGATATAATGAAGTCCCTTTTCTTTACTCTCAATTCTCAAGCTCTTGGCAGTGTACTAGAAGGTTAAGACAAAGATCCAGAAATCTGCAGTGGAAAACTAAAGAGTGGAACAAAGGAAACAGAGATCACATCTGCTTGAAATAGCCAGTGCAGGCATCACAGGATGTCTTCCAGCTCCATCATAAAAAGCCTCTTGGGATTGCTGGGCATGGTGCTATTGGGATCATCACTTTGCAGCAGACATGCMCTCGCTTTCTGCTTTGGTCCAGACCTCCAGGCTTGAACTCAGCCTCCTGCTTGGGCAGTTCAACTTATGATGTAGTTTCTTGTTGAGTAAACAATGCTCCATCTTCATAAAATCTCCACCTCACTCCTTAACCTGCCCCTCTAGCTGCATTTAATCTCAGCAGACCATAGGGATGGGAGGTGGGGGGGGGGACTCAACCAGCTCTGTAGACACAAAGCCATTTCCATTTCCAGGACCTTCTCTAATGTCTTCCAGGGATGTCTGAATGAGCACTGTACTAAAGTGGGGCATAATTCAGCTGATTTAGCYACAAAGCTAAATCACGAATAAGGAGTCTTTGGATGCATCACTTCCCGGTGGACTGGAAAGATTTAATATTGAGGAGTGGTAATTGGGCAAGTTTTGAAAGCAAAGTCCTTAAAATCTGGTGACTACAGATACTTGTTACAGGAAAAGTGGTGTAATAAGAATCAGAACAGATATTTGGGAAGGGGACCCTCTGGGGTGTGTCCCACCCTGTTCTTGCACAAGGTCTGCATGGAAAAGGGATTAGATAATAAAACAAAATTAACCCTTTTTAAACTTTATTTTTGAAGTCTTTCAAGTCCCTGTACTTCACTATCTTGGTCATATTGGGAATGGAAGTAATGAATTCAAGGCCTTCCCCCCCCACCCCCAAAGGATATAGATTAACATCAATACCTGTAGGAATAAAACCTGTTTTACTAAGAAAGAAATAGTTAAGGTAATACTTTCTGACATCCCAGCTGTCTTCACTAGCTGTTATCTTTTATGCAAATTACTGACTTCCTCCCAGTCTCAGTTTTCTCATCTGTAGAAAGGGCATTATAATTCTGCTTAAGATTATGGTGAGCATTATGTGAAAAGGCGGCACCCTTTAGCACGCTGTCTGGCAAAGTATTAAGCTGCCAATACCAGTCTGTAATCACTCTCTTAAGTCAAAGTCACTGTCTTTTTTTTTTTTTAACAAAACAAATGACAGCCTGGAATCATACTTCCCTATGATCTGGATAAATATATTTAGATGTCCTTTGGCTGGAGTTTTCGGGAGGAGCCAAGGCTCTGTGGGTCAAGAGTTGGCGCGGGAGCCAACGGATTGTCTGCCAAGAAATCTTGCCAAAACTTTTCAAGTTCGCAGACCACACTCCAAGTCCTGCCCTTCTCCAGTGCCGTCACTGAGCCACAGCAGAGCTGGAGCAATACTCGCCAGTCTCCCTGCACTGCTTCCCTCGGCGTCCACCCCTACACAAGACACCCGCTGGAAGCAGGTTCAGGGGGAATCCGCAGCGGGGTGCGGGGACGCACGGGGGGCTCTGCTCACCTGGTTGGCGCGCGGCAGCCAAAGGCGACAATAGCAGCAACAGCGGCAGCAACTGCAGCGGCGGCGGGGGCAGTGGCAGCGCCCGCAGCCCGAGGCTTCGGCGGGACATGGCTTGGCGGCCGCGACCTCCTCTCGGCTGGTCTAGGCACCGCTGGGGCGCGCGGTGGCAGCTGTTGCCAGAGCAGCTCTCGGGRTGGCAGGCGGGCGCTGCGTCTTAGAAGTTGGGGAGTTCTTAACTTTCCTCTCCCATTAGCCCTGCCTATTTGGGGCTTTTTAGGGGCGAGGAAAGCTTCACGTGGCTTTGAGAACAACCTTCGCCCTACTGGGCCCCAATCTGGGGAAGGCGGATCCCTTTCGTCTGACCCTCCAGCAACCTGTGGGCAGGGCTGGGAAAGTTCCTCAGCGGCACTTCTGGGGAACGTGCAGGCTGCGCCCTGCTTTTTCAGGACTAGTCGGGCAGTTTGGCGGCCCAGGGCTTGAAGGAATCAGTTCACAGTGCCACTGGTCTCTGCTTCCGAGATGGCCACGCTACCAGCAGAGGAGGAGGCATCCAGAGTCATGGTAGAGCTCATACTCTGCCCACACGCGCTTCTCCTGCTTTGCCGTTCTGGGATTCCTCAGGGATCAGCACCCCGTGCCCCAGGCGATTTAACCTAAATTATTTGCTGCTGCTAGAAACTTTGGATCGTTTGTTTCTCTTTTTTGGTTGGAGCCACCACTGGAGTGTGATTCACGCAGGGTTGAAACTAGATACCCCCTGATCCCCTGTGGTGTCCCCATTTCTCTGCATGGCTAGTTGAAAGTGACATTGTGAAGTAGGCAAAATTATGTCTTGGGTGACACTGGCAAAGGGTGCCCTAGGTGGCATTGTGAAGTAGGCAAAAGGCATTTTATTCACTCAATAGCATTGATTGAGCCCATCTTATGCTTCTGGTACCAGTGCTACAAAGACAGTTAAGAGCAACTCCTCCCACAGACCTAGAAGGGACAAAGCCCTGTGAATAAACTGGTAGGTGAAAGTTGCCACTAATTCTGTAAATAGAGCTATGATTAAAGGAAAGTGGGGACAGCCAGATATGGTGGGCAGGGCTGTGATCCCAGAAACTCTGGAGACTGAAGCAGGAGGATTACAAGTTCAAGACAAGCCTGGGCAATTTAGTGACACTCTGTATCAAAATAAAATGGGGAAAAAATGAGGGGGAAAAAAAAAGAAAGAAAAGAAAGGGATGGGGGTGTATGTCAGTGGTGAGCTCTCCTGGGTTCAATCTCCAGTACAAAAGCTTAGTCCTTGTCCCCATACCAATCCAATAACAAAGACATGGTTTTGAGAAAAAGGAAAAAGAAGGTTTATTGCTTTGCCAGCAAAGGAGAAACACAGGGGACTCCTCCATCAGCAGGAACAGGGGGCTCTTAAAAAGGTAATTCAAAGGCTACATTCCAGGTGTTCTCTGTTGAAGCTGTAATTCACCTGTTAATTTGGGAGTAGTCATTTCTGACATCTTTGGTACCATCCCCAAAGTCTGAATTACTCCGTTCCTATGGCAGGTGTGCACTCAAGGGCAGATAAATCTGCCTAGGATGGAGAAGAAAGGTAATCCTATTTTCCCTGAGAGATTAAGGAGAGAGGAAGAGAAAGAAACATGTCCATTTTAAAAATAAATCAAAGTGGCAGAGCAACAAGGGCTACATTCAAAGCATAAAGTGGACCCCTCTTAATCACCAAAAAGAGAGAGTGAGCAGGGACGGTTAGAAGGTGACAAGCCACCACTCAACCTCCACTTTTGACTTGGCCTTTCTTCTAAACTTCATTGAGGATTCAAGGGATCATGGGAAGAGACAACAGGCAGCACTTTTTCTAGAAAAGGAACTACATTTGTAATTGTTAGAAAAACATAGAACAAGTAAAAGAACATCAAATCCCTGTTCAAATTGCAAGTTACAATTTTGCTATCATGTTGACATTCATGTAATGAAGGAAGGAATTGAGGACATCGTAGCAATTGCACACTTTCCTTCAAGTTAGCAAATAAACAAGAAGGAAAATTATGAACATTTTGGTTGTGTCACGTAGGGAAGAGAACTACATTGGGACATTTGAGGAAGTTGTGCCACCCCAAATACTTCAGCCATGGTGCCATGTTTCACCCTCCTCATCCTACTAACCCTTATTATCCAAGGAGCAACGTATTCTGATGAAATTATATATATATATATATATATATATAAACATGTCTGATGTCAACTATGTGGCATTCATCCATCAATTATTTAGCCATTCAATGTTTGTTGCCTACCATGATCCAGGCACAGAGATGCTGTCACAGACCTTGCTTCCAACAGGGGGAGCAATTACTTAGATAACAAATGAACTGGATCAAGAGGCTTTCAACTTCAAAGCCATTGCAGTTTGGGATCAGACAAGTCTTTGTTGTTGGGGGATTTCCCTGTGTACCCTTCACCCACTGGATGACAGTAGCACTCCCCACCATTTGTGACCCCTGAAAATGTCTCCAGACATTGTCAAATGTTCCCTTATGGTGCAAAAATGCCCTAGCTGAGAACCACTAAATTACGTCGTGATGACAAATCTTTACTTTAAAGTGTGCTCGTTTTATATATCTGGGAGAGAAATGAGCAGCAAAAGTCACTCATTTTAAATCTAAGGTGAAGGGGACCAAAGAATGTGTCAGCTATGAAATGTTCTCATACTTCTATAATGAACTTCCTGGTTTGGGGCTACTCGTCATCCATTACTTTAGTTTTGGTACCAACTTTTCATAAATCTGGACTCTACTGGTTTAGAGGTTTTAGTGAGCAAAGACGGAGGTATGGTCCCACCATGATACACAATACAGTGTCCTGAATTGGAATTTGAAAACACGATCCTTTTTTGAGTTCTTCTGGAAAAAAAAATGGGTAAGAAAAGGATTCTAGTGTTGGTTAGAGTAATCTAGCTTGGCTATCAATAAATAGCACTGCTGCATAGCTGGAGCTGAAGCCTAGAGGGAATTCAGGGGAGTCCCTTGTGTCATCATATACTAGGAACAGTAATGGAAGTGCTGAAACCTCACCCAGGCAGCTCTGCTGGGGAATCCGGCTCCTTACCGCAATGAGCAAAGAACCCCAAGCAGCTGAGATGCCCGCCCAAAGCAAGGGAAGGTGGAAAGAAAGTGGAAAAGAGAAGTCGTAAGTATCATCTATAGCCAAGTGACCATGTAGAAATTGGGACAGTGGACTTCATTGGCTTCTATATTTCTTGCCTTGCTGTAACATACATATGGTGAATTGAAATTTTTAGAGTTCCATTATGTACTATGCCAAATGTAAACCTGTTTCTTTCCCAAAAGAGTATAGTTAACTTAGATTCAAACAACGATCCATTGGTGGTTAAAAAAAAAAAAGGCATGCCAAATTTAAGGGTATTCTATCTTACTTGGGAAATCTTTACCATCCTTTATCTCTTCCATCTCCTCCCCTTCCTCAGGCGGTTTATGTACTAACATGGTTTTAAGTAAGGGGCTCAGTGAATTATTCTTTTGACCTTTTGGTCTCCACTAAGATGTGGTTTGTCTCCTCCAGCTGTCAGGAATTACAATGCACAGTTATCTGCTGTTGATGTCTGCGGCACCACCATGACCTAAGGTTAAGATTCCCACGTGCTCTGTGTATTAATTAGGGTAACGCCATCCCCCATCCCCGGTGATAAGTGAACTCTGTGTGTCCAATGGGTTTATGCAATGCAGTGTGGGCATTCTTCTTGGTAAGTGGCTTTCTTCCATGTGGATATCTAGGAACTCAATGTCCTTTCATCTGCGGCTTCACCATACACCAAGGCACCAAGGCAGAAGTTCCCAAACTGAGGGCCAAAAACTTTAATAGCAGTGATTTGATCAGTGCCCAACAGACAGCTGTGTTTCCCTGAGAAAGTTAAAAGTATCCCAAAGAGCCCTTTTGGTTCATTGTAATATGTTCTGCTATTATTGTTTTCTATGAATATTTGATGGATTCTTAGATACCCTCTGTGAATTCACTGTGGTTGCCAAATTGTATGTAGGAACCATGACCATTGGCCTTGAAATCTTTTCTTTCAGCCACAGAGAAGGCAAAGAGTATGGAAAGAGCAAACACACCTGCTTCTTAATCAATTCCAYTCACCTTCCATCGGTAAGAACGGAACATATTGTCACACCTGGGATGTCACCTCTCAATACAGAAGAGAACAAGAGAACACATCTTGGGTAAGCAGCTAGCCGTTTCTGGCACATTGGGCAACCTCTCCATCCTGACTTAGATCCTATTTGGGCTTTTGGTTCACCTTCATACCCTTCCTGAACCCTGAAATAGTGGCAGTAGGGGGCTTAAAGTTACTCTGGCCTAGTGATCATCAATCAGTAAGTCTGCCTGAAGTGTCATCTCCCTAAACACCTCCCCTGGCCATTTTAAACACCTGGTGCCATGGGGACACAGGGCTCTTTTTCAAGGACTTGCAAGTTCATGAGCTACAYTGGGGGAGGTTTAACTATCATCTTCTCTGCTCCCATAATTCTAGACCTACTTGGCATTTCTATTACTAAATATTTCCACACCCTGCCCCACCCATCAGTAGGTGACTCTTCCCCTAGAGGATGGTTGGTGCTGGGCTTTCTCACGGATCCTCTGTGCATCTCTTACCAGTTTTTTAGACTTTTTTACTTCTGTGGATAAGAACAARTTCAATATTAGCATACCTTCTTATTCCAATTTATGGTTCTTCAACATACTGTATACCATCTTATCTCAGTCTGTCTTTCCATTTTTCAAACCAAGCTTTTGAATATTTTAAAACATTTTTTTTCTCTCAATTGTATGGATCGTACATTTTAGTGCCTGTCGAAGACTAGTGTCTCTATAATATAAGACCTCAAAAAGCCACAAATCAGCCAGGCGTGGTGGCACACCCTTGTTATTCCGATGACTCAAGAGACTGAGGCAGGAAGATAGCAAGTTCGAGGCTAGCCTCAGCAAGTTAGCAAGACCCTAAACAACTTAGATCTTCAAAACAACAACAACAAAAAAATAAATACTCTGGGTTCAATCCCTAGTATCTCTRTGCCCCTCTGCAAAAAGCCACACATCTTAATCTTTTATTTTCCAATATTTTAGTATTCTTCTTTGAGTTAATACCTTAGCCTCTTGGAAGGAATCTAATAATGGGAGTTTCTAAGTTAAACAAGAAATTTTCAGAAGAAAAATGCATTAGGTAATATTTTAGACTACTATCTAAGTAGTCTTACGTATATTTACTTCTGTAATTAATTTTTCCTTTTCTGTTCTTTTTTCCCCCCTTATTGTGTATATAGTTGTATTGGTAATTAAATAAACCATTTGGTGTATTGCTACAGAACCAAAGAAAGGATGAACACTCCTCAGAAATCCTGGGCTTGGGCTTTTTGCCTGTCCAACATATTGCTCTGTTAAATGCTCASAGCTCTTCTTCCAATTTTTGTTTGTAACAGGGATTGAACCCAGCGGTGCTTAACCACTGAGCCACATCCCCAGCCCTTTTTATTTTTATTTAGAGACAGGGACTTGCTATGGTTGCTTAGGGCCTGGCTTTGAATTTGACATTCTCCTGCTTCAGCCTCCCAAACCTCTGGTATTACAGGTGTGTGCTACTATGCCCAGGTTCTTTTAGGTTTTAAGAAAGAATTTAAGCCTTGATGATATTGGAATAACAACGAATAAATAAAAGGTGCTTGATAAATATTTGATGAATCTGGCTGGTCTTGATTTAATGAAGACAACAAGAAGAAAAATCTTGGGCACTTATTTCTTGGAAAATGGCTAAAAATGAACCTTTATAGGCAATCCAGGGCCAAAACTCCAGATTTCTTTCTTGGACAAGTTTATGTTTCAGTCTAGTTGTGTAAACTAGATGAATATCTCCTGGATATGAGGAATTGAGTTAGAAACTGTGCATATCAATCTTCCACACAATTGTAATCTGAGAAGGAAGTCTGGTGTACGGCC